GAGAGAGAGAGAGAAAGAGAGATAGAGAGAGAGAGAGAAAGAGAGAGAAAGAGAAAAGGAGAGGTGATAAGGATGAAAAAGGTATGTCTCGAGCATCATCATCATCAACATTATCACCACCACCAACACCAACACCATCACCATCATCATCATCATCATCATCATCATCATCATCATCATCATCATCATCATCATCATCATCATCATCATCATCAGTATTCTAAATCATCAGGTCGACGTCAAGGATGAAGACCTAGAGAGCAACAACAAATGGCTGCATCAGGACATCCCAGTAGAGTGCACAGAGGCTCATGTGGCCTAGAAGTTAAGATGTTCGCCTCTCGTTCAAAGGTCCCATGTTCGAATCCGGGTAGCAACGGAAAAATTTTGTTCACTCAAACTGTCTCCTTCGCCTCCTTTCTTGCTCTCTAGCAATGTTCTGTCGTCTGCTTTCGTATCCATTTTCTGCTCCACATCCTCACCTTCTTTGCCCCCTCCTCTGGGTATCTGACTCTTTCTGCAGCCTTTTTATTGCTACCCCTTGGCTCCGTATTACTGCTGTCTTACAGACACACCCTGATCTACATCTAGCCTTCTCGGACAAGGGCGAAACATTTCGGAGGTCCCATGTGCAAGTTGTGCACGTTAAAGATCCCTTGACTGTCTAAAATCGATAAGAGTAAGCTTTGGCCACCACCAGGGCAAAATTCAAAATTTCCTACCAACTGAAAAAGTATAATGTGTCCCGCATGGGATCTTATCAAGGAATTTACAGTAGTGTTAAGCTCCTTGAATATTATTCAGTTGCGAGCGCCGTAAAACATGTATAAAAAAACACCAAAAAAAACAAACAACAACAACAAAAAACAACAATGCAACTGTTGGTCTCCTCACATGTGTAACGGCGTCCGTCCATGGATATCCCGCGTCTCCGGGTCTGCCCGGTGACGTAACAGCTCCGGGACAAGCTCCTTGTGGTCGTTCAGGGCACAGAAGTGTAGAGGGACCCAGTGGGATTTCTGGGGAGTGAGTTCGAGGCTTAAGCTTTCAGTTTCAGAGTAAGCCTACCCCAGTTTCGAAAAATAATAAATGCAAGATATCTAATACATGTGTGGATCACACAAGTTATTGTCTGTTTACGTTACAGCTATTTTAGAGGTTTCAAAGACCTCGAAAACAACAGAAATTCAGACTCGACCTTGACATAGAAATACGACTCATGACGTGTAGCAGCAGCAGCAGCAGCAGCAGCAGCAGCAGC